CAATTAACCAGCAAGAAGCCCAACTGAACTTGTGGCTCAAGTGGTAGAGTGCTTGCTTTGAGCGAAATAGCTAAGGGACAACACCCAAGCCCTGACTTCAAATCCTAGTACTAGCAGAGACACACAAAATAAGTAAAACAAAAGAAGTTTGGGCACGTGCCTTAAGTGGTAAAGCACTTGTCTACCAAGTATGAGGCTCAGAGTCCAAACCCCAGTATTACCAAAAGAAAGCATATAAGGGAGGATGTGTATAAGCTATAAGCAAATACTATTCTATTTTATATTATATAAGATCTGGAACATCTATCTATAGATTTTGGTACTTATGAGGTTCATGGAACCAATTCCCCATAGATTCAAGGGATAACTGTATTATTATTTTAAAATATAACCAATATACATTCCCAAGCTTTGGCATTCATTTTTTGGTGACAGTTCTTTGACAACTATTGTGTGCTTATGCAGGTAGTGTGCCTTGACTACACTAGACAAATGACAGTTATGGCTTCCTTCGGGAACAGCACAGTCACGAGACTCATGCTTTTCACACTTCACACATCACCTTTTATGTTTTAAAAATGTTTAAGTTTGCCTGGCACTGGCGGCTCATGCCTGAAATCCTAGCTACTTAGGAGGCTGAGATCTGGGGATCACAGTTCAAAGCCAGCCCAGGCAGGAAAGTCTGTAAGACTCTTATCTCCAGTTAACCACCAGAAAACCAGAAGTAGTGTGGCTCAAAGTGGTAGAGAGCTAGTCTTGAGTGAAAGAGTTCAGGGGTAGTGTCCAGGCCCTGAGTTCAAACCCTACAACCAGGGGAAAAAAAAAAAAAAAAGGTTTTGCCAATGCTAGTGGCTCACACCAGTAATCCTAGCTACTCAGGAGGCCGAGATCTGAGGATTACTGTTCAAGATAGCCTAGGCAGGAAAGTCTGTAAGACTGTGGCTCAAAGTGATGAGCCCCAACCTTGAGGAAAAAAGAGCTCAGGGACAGCACCCAGGTCCTAGCTGAAACCCTGCCCCCTCACCAAAAAAAAAAGTTTCTATAAACAGAAGATTCCAGAACTTAATTGCCCTTCATCACCACAGACTTCGACAGCAATACAGCTCTCTGTCTTTGAGGTCTTATTTCCCTCTTCTCTGTTGGGGCCCAGGTATCCAAATAAACCCCTTGTGCCTGCTGTAACCTAGAGACTCAAACATTTAGGCAGGTGTGGCCTATATGCTGTTATTCCTTAGCCACTCTATACCCTGAGTTCTGTGGGACCCCAGTGGTCATAAATTCCCATTGTGGGTGGACACCAGTGGCTCATGCCTATAATTCTAGTTACTCAGGAGGCTGAGATCTGGGGACTAAAATTCAAAGCCAGCATGGGCATATAAACCTGAGAAACTCATCTCCAATTAACCAGAAACGGTAGTATATGTCAGCTGTAGGAGAAAAAGGGACTGAGTTCAAGCCCCAGTACCACCATAAAAATGTTTAAATAAAATAAATTCGCACTGTCATCCTAGGCCATCACATCCCCATAAATGCACTCCTCTTATTTTCTCACCTTAGATTTTTTAAAATAATAAAGTCAAGTTTAATAAGCAAAAGATGAATTGAATCTGTAGAACATGTTCCATGTTCTGTGTAGGGGCTGCACAGTAAGCAGAGCTTTCAAGTAAGTGATGGGTAGGGTTAAAAATGGGCACTAGTACTGACCAGGTAGGTGGGGATGGGGCAGGGTAGGGAAGATGTTTCCATCTTGAGACTGAGATTTGCCAGACACAAACTATGACCCTTAGGAGTCAGAGGTACAAGCTCCAGACAACAGTTCCTCTTTGAGTAAGCATTCATGCAAATGCAAACTCCTTACCAGCTGTTCCCCAGCACACTGCCCATGGCACTTGATCTATTGTCCTACCCTATCTCTCAGGCACCTCTTCAGCCACTCCTGTGTCTCATCTGATGGCCTGCAGGTCATTCCTGGCTTAAGCCACTTCTGCCTCTTCCCTATTAATCAGCTTCTCCAGGTCCCCTGCCCCGGCCCCCAGCATCTCTTCAGGGGTTCTGTGTCTTCCCACAACCAGGGTCTAGGCTATGCTTCTATGACTGGGCCCTTGAGAGCCAACTCTTGTGGAACTACTCATGGTTCTCCTGTTTGGGACTCCCAATCATTCACATAGTGCCCCTGATCCTTCCAACCCCTTCTGTGCCCATGTTTCCACAGGCTCATCCCTCCATCCCTCTTCCTTTCTCCTGCCCCAGGTCAGGTCAGACAATACATAACAAAAGCCAGGTGCTGGTGGCTCACACCTGTAATCCTATCTACTCATGAAGCTGAGATCTGAGGATCACAGATTGAAGGCAGCTGGGTAGGAAAGTCTAAGAAGCTCTTTTATCTCCAATTAACCAGCAAAAAGCTGAAAGTGGAGCTGTAGCTCAAGTGTTAGAGCATCAGCCTTTAGCAAAAACAGCTAAGGCCCTGAGTGCAAGACTCAGTACCGGTATATCTCTCTCCCTCCTTTTCTTCCCCCCTCCCTCTCTCTGTCTCTCTCTTCCTCTCTCTCTCTCCCACACACACACACAGCCCAGGCCACTACACTGCACTCTGCCTTGTCCCACCATGCCATGTGATAGGCTGCAGGGTCCTACCCAAGTAGCTTTTTGTGCCCCTTACCTGCTTTACCCTTCTGCTCTGGTGGCTGTGAAGCTCCTCCCATGCCCATCGTCATTAGTTTGTCTAGCCACCTCTCTCATTGACCAAAGGTGTGTCCCCAATCTTTCCGATATGCCCAGGCTCACTGAGCTAGTGAGTAGCACCATCCCCTTGAACTAGGGGAACCCTAGGCCTAGTTCTTCCCTTCCCCTGTAAATTGGCCTGGGGATTCCTCAGCTCTCTTTTCCTCCCTGGAGGGAGGGAGAGAGGAGGAGGGTGCAATCAGAACACCCCTGGATCTGACACACCCTGGCTTTGAGCTCCTGGAACCACCTGGAAGGTATCTCAGAAATGAGGCAAGAAAGAGGGCTCAGTTTAAAAGTGTGACTTAAGGTACAAGTACATGCTATTCTTGTGGTCCTGCCAAGGAAGCTGGGAGGAAGGGGAACATCTATTCCATCTATTCTCTCTTCTAGACCTTCCACCCAGGAAGGGATCAGTGCCTAAAAGGCCAGATGGTTTTCCAACCTGAGACTGTGTTTCTAACAGCACACCATACTGTCTTAGCCATGACTTTGCTTCCTTCCCTTGGACCCATCCTTTATAGCCTCAAAGTCTTTCCTATCAGAGATTACCTCTGGGGTATGGGGATTGTTGGTCTCATTGCCCAACAGCAGGCCAAATACACAATCTAGAAATACTGTGTCTTGGGCTGGGAAGGTGGCTCAGTGGTAGAGTGCTTGTCTTGCATGCATGAGGCCCTGAGTTCAATTCCTCAGCACCACATAAGCAGAAAAAGCTGGAAGTGGTGTTGTGGCTCAAGTGGTAGAGCGCTAGCCTTGAGCTGAAGAGCTGAGGGACGGTGCCCAGGCCCAGAGTTCAGGCCCCATGACTGACAAAAACAAAACAAAACAACAACAACAACTGTGTCTTTGGTGAAGTGTCTTTTCTTTTCCCTCCCTTCCTTCTCTCTCTCTTTCTTTCAGTGCTGGTACTGGGACTTAAAACTTAGGGCCTGGACAATGTTCCTTAGCTTTTTCTACTCAGGGCAGGTGCTTACCACTTGGGTCACACCTCTATTTCCAGCTTCTTGGTGGTTAACTGGAGATAAGAATTTCATAGACTTTCTTGCCTGGGGTGACTTTAAAGTGTGATCTTCATATCATCTTCCCAAGTAGCTAGGATTACAGGCATGAACCACTGAACCGCAAGTCACTTGTGCCTGACTCAACTGTCTGATATACAGACAACATGGTCTGGCTCTAAGCTATATGGCTGAGATGACATTTGTGGTTCTACCTTTGCAGTTGAATGCTGCCCTGGCCTTGTAGGCTCATGGGTGGTTCAAGGATAACAAGAGAGCACACCAACCCCCAGAGATAAGCCAATAAACGCGACCTGTGAAAGGAGAGAACAGGCAGCAAGAGAACCGGAGGGAAGCAGGGGCCCCTGGAGAGAGAGGCGAGTGCTTGGCAGCTGGACAGTGGAGCAGAACTGGAGAGGCTGCAGGCCGCATGGCAGAGGAATAGGAGGGCCTTGCAGGGGGACTACAGTTCCTGGCAGAGAGAAAGGCCTCTGGAGGTCAGAGAGAAACACAAAGAGAGTAGACAGAGGGTGGGTCAGTGAAGATACCTGGGAGGGTACTGGTCATCCTCCCCATGGCCCAGCCTGTTCTGGAAGCTTGTTTGGGTGCTTCCAATGTGGGGCATTGGCCCTGACCTCCTTCCCTTTGCCAAGGGGGGGGTCCCCAAGACTATGGGGGAGTGGAGGGAAGCAGCAGGTAAAAGCATTACAAAAGATGAATCAGAGCAGGGACCAGAGGCTCCTCCATGATATAGTCTGGTGGTCAGCACCTGCCCATTCTCAGTCACGATTACAGGAACAAGGAAGCCCTTCAAACCTGCATGTTCACACAGGCTCTATTCTGTAATCTAGAGAAGTTGATAACATGATCTGCAATCCTTACAATCTTTGGAGGGAAGTTCTGCTGGCCCCATCCCAAGATAGGACTGGGCCTGGGTGGATAGAGGTAAGAGGGAAGGATAAGGGCAGTGTTTCTCTGAGTGCTTCTGTGGAAGCTGTGGTTTCAGGATGATAGAGATCAAAGTCAAAGTCATCATTTCCCACCCCCACCTCCCAAGTTTGTCAAGGAAGACATACTTGGGAAGAAGCTGGGCAAACAAACCCTAGACTGCTTGGACCACCCATCCCCACCTGATCTGGGAGTGTCCTTCCCGAAGTGGCTGCCAAACTAGGGTCCCTGATGGCAAATGGGATGAGACAGACAGACAGGCCTGGCTATCCCGCGATAAGCTGATATTGTGTCCAGCCACCCCTGCCATTGGGGCCCAGCTCTAACCTCGGGTCTCTGGCATGCTGGACGTGGGCAGAGATATGGCTGCAGGGTCTTGGGGATCGCTCGCTAGCCTCTGCCCAGCACACATGGACTTGAGCATCTGGAAGACGGCGAGGGGGGCCACGTTCAGATTCAGCAGGTCCACCAGGATCCTGGGGAAAACAAACGCAGTGCTCAGTGAACACACCCCACCCAGAGCTGAGGCCTGCTCTGACAACAGCGGACCCGGCATGGCCACAAGAAGCCGCTTTGCTGAAGATCCCGATAAACAGGGCTCTTGGAGACCATCGAGCAGTGGCCGGGAGGAGATCTGGGTGGAGGGGTGCGGATGGTTCCGACCAGCGCGAAGGCCCCCACCCGCGCCCGCTCACTTGAACACGTCAGGGTCCACAGCGGCGCCCGCAGCCTGGGCCAACTCGTATAGCTCCATCTCCTCCGCGCTCAGCACCTTTTTCCGTCTCAGCGCGAGCTTCTGCAAGGTTGCGGCCTCCATCGCGGTGGCTGCCGCGTGCGCGGGACCGCTGGCCGCAGCCGCCATCGGCTCAGCCCGAGGGAAAGCGCGAGCAGCGACCCGGCCCACCCGGCCCCGGCTCCGCCCACCCGGCCCCGGCTCCGCCCACCAGCCCACCCGGCGCTCCCACCGCGCCCTCTACCGGTCGCAGCCCGCCACCCTTTTCCCTACAACGTCCGGGTAGGGACAAACAGCCCTGGGCCTTTGGGCCGCGAACCCGAGCCATCTCTACGTCGCCCTTTGAGCCCTAGACGTGTACTGGACGCCTAGTGTCAGGCGTTGGTATGCTGTGGTGGAAAACAGAGGTGCGCTCCTTGGCGATCAAACGTTCCCTGCCAGACTGCATTGGTCATGCTCACTTAGGCCGCAGTACATAGCGGAATGCCCAATACAGTGGGCACTCAACAAAAGTCTGTTGGACGAAGGACATTCACTACAATATATACTTGTTCCGCTAGGGTTCTGTCACTAAGGGAGCATTCCACGAAGAAGCTAAAAAGCTGAAGCTAGTGATGCGCAAGCTGTTCCTGGCGGGCTACAGTTACCCCGTTGCGCGTGCGCTTTTTACAGCGGCCCGCCTCCCTGGCTTGGGCAGGCCTTCGTATTGCGCATGCGCCTTTTGAGATAGCTGTCCATAGAGGTAGGGGCGTTTTTCCCGCCGGGCTGGGGGGGCGTGACGCAGCGCGCAGCTTGATGACGACAATTCGGCGCTGGGTGGCAGAATGGCGGCTCCCAGCGCTGAGGGAAGCTGTGCCAGCGATCCCACAGGTGAGTTGGGAGGGGGGGAGGGGAGGGAGGGAAAGAGGGGAAGGGGAAAAGGTGGGTAACCGCCTGTGAGTCGGCTCCGCACCGCGGCAGCTTCCTCGAACCCTCGCCGAGGTCGTCTCCGTTCCTTCTAGAACCCCAGGACTCAGGCCGGGCCCGGGTCAGGGCCACTCTGCCCGAGCCGGGCCGGCGGGGGAGCCGAGAACCGCGGCTGTGTCTTCCTGCCACCCTCAGGGGTCTTGACTTTACTCCACCATCCCGAGCAGTCTGCACAGCCCACCATGAAAGGTGCTCGGTGCTTGGTTAACGTTCAACGTTCGTTGAACAAGGGGATGATTTTAAGTTCAAGTTGAGCCTTAGGCTCTGCTAGCGGTGTTAGCGGCAGAACCGAGTGTGGGTCCTGGCTCCACCCTCGGCGCACAGTTGTTGAATTTCTCTCTGAGCCTGTTTCCCCCTTTGAAGTAGAAGAATCTCAACATTTTACTCCATAGTTTTGTAAAAAGCAATAAACAGAGGCATGCTACAGCTAGAGGGAGGTCTTGGCAATGGCGAAAAACTGGTCCTGCTTGCTGTGGGCTAGGACTGATACTATAAAAAGAAGCCAGATAGCCCCTAAAGAAATTGGATGATGGGGCTGGGAATGTGGCTTAGTGGTAGAGTGCTTGCCTAGCATGCATGAAGCCCTGTCTTCAATTCCTCATTGCCACATAAACAGAAAAAGCTGAAAGTGGAGCTGTGGCAGCCACTTGAGCACAGAGAGACTCAGGGATAGAGCCCAGACCCTAAGTTCAAGCCCCAGGACCTACCCCCAAAAAATAAAAACAAAAAAATGTCAGGTGTTGAAATGATGGGAGGAAGGGAAGCCCAGATACACATTATGCAGAAGAGGGTGGGTTAGGTAAACAGAGCAGTAACTGGTAATATTCCTCTTCCACGCGGCAAAGAATTTCCTATCAATACCTCAACTGCCCCTACCTCCATACTACCAGTTACCACTTCAGCATGTCTCATGTGCTGGGCAGAGCTGTGCCAAGAAAACCATCACTAGCTCATCAGTGGAACTCTATGAGCTTCTCTGCTCAGTCCAGTAGTGGTTATTTTCTACTTCTGAGCAGGGTGGGCAGAGAAGAATCTGGAGAGCCTTTCCTAATTTTCTGCTGGCTATTTCAAAGACTTCCCTGGCAGAATGTGGCCTTTCCCTACTTTCATTCATTGCACATCACAAGTAATATGCTTTACCCAGCCATCTGTGAGAGGTTTGTAAGGAGGTCAGGTTGTTCATATCTTGGTTCTGCTGTTTACTAGCTGGGTGGCAGCAAGTGATTTAGCTTCTTTGTGCCATTTCCTCATTCATTCTAACCTCGTCGGGTTGTTGTGAAGATACATTCTTTTATTCTTGGCTAGCAAACATCAACCTAATACAGCACACGTATGTTATAGTTACATAGTCAGAAGTCCAGACTCAGCTGAATTTTCTACTTAGGATATCAAAATCAGGGTGTTGGCAGCTTTGCTCTTGTCTCTAAGCTCTAGAAAATATTTTTCCAAGCTTTTTCAGATTGCTGGCACAATCTAGTTGGAACTAGGAACTTGCATCTGGACACTGCTTCATCTTAAGGACTAATGACTTGGGGTTTTAATTACATCTTAAAATTCCTTTACCACAGTATCTGGATAAGTGGCTAAATAACTAAAAGGTAGGATTCTGGGAACTATCTTTAGAATTCTGCCTGTCACTAAGGATTAAATGAAGAAATATATAGGAAGCCATTAAAACCAGTCCTGATATCTACCAAGTACTAGGCAAACATCACCAAAGATTCACCATCATAACTTAGCTCTGAAAGTGGCTATCTGGACTGTGTGAAAATGGCAGTTCTGTAAAACTATGCAATGGTCAATGTGGTGTGGGTTGAGATACAGAGGTGTTCTGGACATTGTGAAATTGCCTAATATTCTGTTGTGTGGCAGATATTGAGTTTTTTTTTAAAAAATTATCATTATAAAGGTGATATACAGAGGTGTTACAGCTATTTAAGTCAGGTAAAGTACATTTTTTTATTGAAAAGGTGATGAGCAGGGGGGTTACATAAGTAAGGCAATAAGTACATTTGTTTTATTTATTTTTATTAATAAGTTTTTTTATTGTGAAAATACCGTAGAGGGGTTACAATTACATGAGCAAGGAAATGAGTACATTTCTTATCAAGCATTGTTGCCTCCTCCTTTGTTTCCCCTTACAATCCCTGCACTCCCATCCTGCCCCATTTATTTATTTATTTATTTATTTTTGTCGGTCATGGGGCTTAAACTCTGAGCCTGAGCGCTGTCCCTGGGCTCAAGACTAGTGCTCTACCACTTGAGCCACAGCACAACTTCACTTTTCTGGTGGCTTATTGAAGATAAGAGTTTCACATGGGCTGGGAAGGTAGCTCAGTGGTAGAGCGCTTGCCTTGCATGCTTGAGGCCCTGCACCACATACGCAAAAAGAAAAAAGTGGGAAGTGGTGCTGTGGCTCAAGTGATAGAGTGCTAGCCTTCAGCTGAAGAGCTGAGGGACAGCACCCAGGCCCAGAGTTCAGGCTCATGACTGGACCCCCCCCCAAAAAAAAATAGCGTTTCACAGACTTTCCTGCCCAGACTGGCTTTGAACTGCAATCCTCAGATCTCAGCCTCCTGAATAGCTAGGATTACAGGCATGAGCCACTAGCACCCAGCTAGTACATTTGTTTTAAATCATTGTTACCCCATCCCTCTTTATCTCCCACTTATTCCTCCCTACCTGTCCCCCCCATACATTTCTTTTTATACAATGTCACACCTTCCTTCACTCTCTCCCAGTTTTTTCCCTCCCATTCCCACACACAAGTTGTATATTTCATTTTCAACATAGTCTCTAGTATCCACATTGCTGCATTTGTTTACCTTTTATCCCTCCATCAGATACTGAGTTTTGTCTTTGTTTTTCAACAGTGGTTTCCTAAAGCAACAGTTATCAACTCTTCACGGGAGACTGCTATGGCATTCCCTCACCTGCAGCAGCCCAGCTTCCTACTGGTACATATCAGCTGCCTATAGGATTTTCTATGAAGACAGTACTGCAACTGAGGGACTTTAGAGTTCTTTTCATAGCTACGAAGAATCCCTCTACCAGCTATTTTTTAGGGCATATGATGAAAATAACATTGGACTTGAGATTCTAACCTGAGATTAGCATCCTTAAGCTCTTAATATGCCTCCTAATTAATGCAAGATCCTGAGTTTATTCAACTTCTGATCTTGAGTTTTCTCATCTACAAAATGAGTTGATTCAGATAGTGTTTTCCCTACTTACTAGAGTATGAGGAAGAGCAAGTGAGAAGGATATACATCAGAATGTCCATGACTTGTAAAGCCTTATATATATGTGAAGCATTCAAGTGGTCAAAACTGTCATCAATGAAGAATAAAAGGACACTGCTATGCTGGGGGCAATCAGGACTTCAAGTATTAAAGAGGATGTTAGAGAATCGCGTGTAAAGTACATGTAGATAAAGAATGTTCTAAATTATAGTTTCCAGAAAGTGCTTTTTGTAAACATTTGGAAGGACAGTCTTCCTTCTAGAGCCAAAAGACCTGACCCATAGCCTGAACAGGCTCTATGCAATCCACCTTCATATGGAAGTGGACAGGCATCAGATATCCTTGGCAAAGCGTAGCTGTTGAAATTCTGATGTCTCCTCCTAATCTTAACCCATTTTCACAGAAGCCACTTCTTTATGGAGTCAGGATATATTCAGTTCCTGTCCTGATTGTTTGCTGACCTCTCCATTGCCTTCATGATTAGTATTTACTTTTGACCAAGGATGCCTTATTTCTTGAAGTAATAATCTAGTAAGTTGCTTACCTATGATTAAGAGAGAAAAGAACTTATATAGCCCTCATTTTGTTGTGCTTTTTTCACAGTGATCTAATCATGAGTAGTAAATTTGCAATTATTGTATATAAACTTCGTACTCATAGACTGTGAGAAAGTGCCCTGCACAATAGAAAGGTCCTGTCCTAGCTGTGGGGCTGACCTTGGTACTGAACCCTTTCATTGGTTAGTGGAGGTTTACTATCATTTTGATAACTCATAGAACTCTGGGATACCTGAGGAAGGGCCTCTGAGAACTACTAGTCTTGATGGGGACAACCAGGACTTTGTTTTAAGTCAGCTTGTCTGTTCTGTTAGCATCCTTTGGATCACCAGCATGAAGTGATAGAGACAAGATCAATGGTTGTATTTTTCTATTGCTGTAAAAGCTACAAAACA